TTAAGTACTGAGCCTCTTTGATAGAACAGCTTTTACTCCACTAGTGGTATCTACAAGTGGAAAAGACAGCACACTCATGATGATATAAGCAGGGTCCTCTTATACAGTACCTTCTATACAGCTTTAAAGTATCCTCAACGCATACAGCAAGACTGGACCTTCCTGGCCAAAAGTACAAATCCTAAAAACAACTCTCAGGCTGTTAGTACCAAGATGATAGGCAAAGCTCATTGGCATGCCAGCAAGCTTCATGCTGTTTCGAAGGTAATTTAATGCAGTAGTCTTTATGATACCTTACTTCTAACAGGTTTGTGTGACCATCCAGGGAACGTGAAGAAATCCACGGTGAAAGATATGTGGAAATCACACCAAAATAGTCTTTTCTGGGAAAGAAGTGCCAGAGTGGTAGAAAGTTCAAAAGATCTGAAGATTCTCTGCAGCAGTGGCTTTCATAGGGTTACACTACACAGAATATGAAACAGACTCTGAGGCACTGGAAATGTTAACATAATACAAAACCATTCCCTTCCAGTCCTTTACCTTTCAAGTTAACATATTCTCTGTCAGCCTCTTAAAGCACAGACAAAAACCAATTATTTGACATTAGCACTGTTGTAATTAAGACATTTTTACATTGACCTTTATAATGAATGTAATGGAGCCATGAAAATTTTTATTTTTTGAAAGGGGCTGGTTTTTAAAAACATTGCTTTGTAGCATGTGAGGAAAAAAAAGCAGCTTGAGAATGGTCTCCAACCTTTCATCGTGACCCTAAGCTGCCCTTCTGTTCGGGTAGCAAAAACGTCTCTTAAAAATTACATTTTTCTTGATTAATGTGAGAGCTTATGTCAAATGACATCCGAGCTTTCCACTGACATCAGGCTGTTGTTAAATGTTAGCAAATACCCTATCTCTGGAATGTTAAGATAGGAAAACAAAATATCTTCTCTCACAAATGGCATTCCATCTATCATACTTGATTTTTTTGCTGAGAATAGCAACTAAGACGGTGTTTATTTGTGTCCCTGTCTATTCAGGTCTTGTGTAACAACAACAAATAATACTGAGAGAGGCTCTCATTCTTACCTTCTGTCAAACAGTATCAAGAAGAAATCAGCTGAAGCTGGCAAAACTGTTCTGCTGCGAATTTGCTGGATGATCAGAATCACATAGAGGTTCTGCAAAGAATGACAATAGATACATCTCAGTTTTCATGCTGCAACTACATCAGACTGAACTAAGCAGCTGTCTGCTGTATTAAAATTAACAAAAACATAGCTTAGAGTACAGAGAAGACATTCTGTCTTTATGAAATGGCAATATTATGCTTGGCTTTATGAAAACATGGGAAAACAAAACCTGTTCTTGTCCAAGAGGTACTAAAGCAGGCTTTGAGATTAAAATGACATAATATAAAACTATCTCATGAAGAAACATCCAAAGCTTAATTATGCCTGCTTATTTGGCAAGTGTCTACAGTGAAACTGGGGACAACAGAGAAGAGTTATGTTTGACTGCCTGTGTCATATGGAAGCATGACAGATTGATATTTGCACTTATCACAACTTAACGGATTGATTTCTTATGACGTACAAGAAGATCGCACTCAAGAACAGGGAGATATCACGTGCCTGATACTGATTCAGAAAATATAATCTTGTAGAACATGCCCTTACATTGAATGGCATCTTGGCCTGCATTAAAAACAGTGTGACCAGCAGGGCCAGGGAGGTGATCATCCCCCTGTACTCGGCACTGGTGAGGCTGCACCTCGAGTCCTGTGTTCAGTTCTGGGCCCCTCACTAGAAGAACGATGTTGAGATTCTGGAGCGTGTTCAGAGAAGAGCCACAAGGATGGGGAGGGCTCTGGAGAACAAGCCTGATGAGGAGCGGCTGAGGGAACTGGGGCTGTTTAGCCTGGAGAAGAGAAGGCTGAGGGGAGACCTCATCACCACCTACAACTGCCTCAAGGGAGGTTGTGGAGAGGTGGGTGCTGGTCTCTTCTCCCAGGTGATGGGGGATAGAACAAGGGGAAACGGCACCAAGCTGTGCCAAGGGAGGTTCAGGTTAGAGATAAGGAGGAAGTTCTTTACTGAGAGGGTCGTCAGAAGCTGGAACAGGCTGCCCAGGGAGGTGGTGGAGTCACCATCCCTGGATGTATTTAAAAAGTGGGTAGATGAGGTACTTAAGGATATTGTTTAGGGGTAGACAGGAACGGTTGGACATGTTGATCTCAGAGGTCTTTTCCAACCGAGCGATCCTGTGATTCTGTGAATGTCTTTGAGTCAGTCAAACGCTGAAAGACTGTAATGCTGTTTCAGTCTACTATTAACAGTGAGATTTCATCAACGTAGGCTAAAGGGAACCTGACCCAAAGCGCTGACAGCAAGAAATGATGAATCTTATGTTTTAATTAACAAGAAAACAATCGTGTACATTACAGTATAGCACAATTTTTACACTGCACCGTATGCAATCCAGTGTCAAAACAGAAGCCTTTGAGGGCTGGAGAAAGAACGGGTCTTTAATATTTTTTCAGGCTATTAGAGCAAACAAAGATTTCTGGTGTAACATGGCACGTTGCTGATCAATATTCTTCTACACATATGGATTCTGTCATCTTTGGCGAGATGGGAGCATCTCCAATATCTAATATTACGTGATTTGGGGAAACTAAAAATACTCAAGATCCCATTCCCTGACTCAGAAACTTCTGGTACAGAATTCAACTAACTCTTACAGAAGTCACTCCTATCTTGCTGCAGAAGATTAAGACCTCCATTTTATGTGTGGTAAATATAAGTAACTACATTAACCTTAAGCTGAAGGAGAACGTTTTGTTAAATAAGCACATCCCTGCTCCTATAATGCTATTCACATTAATACAAAACACAGGGGGGATTAGGCAAGTCAATTAAATGTATTAGCATTCTGCTGCTTGCTTCCTAAACAGTGTGGGATTCAGGGGACTAGAGGCTCCTGCTCACGTGGCACATATTCCAGGTTATACGTCAGAGGGACAGCCAAACATGGCAAAATGGGTTTAAGTGTACCACACAGCATCCTGTGTTTTTGGAAGGCATAGCAATTGCTCAGTTGCATGTCAAAATCTCACATCATCAACAGCTAGGATAGATTTTTCTCTACTTTAAATGGCTGTATATTTGGAACAGGATACTTTGAGTCTTGGACCTATCTATCATTAAACTCTAAGTGATCTAACGTGGTTTGTTCCAACTGAAATATTCTATTCAGGCATGGAGAAAGAGGCAAAGGTACATTACAGCAGCTAGGCACAGTTAGAGTCCTCTATTCACCTGCTCCACTAAGTCTTAAATTGAACACATGATAATCCAGTAGACCATAAAGGGAATTCAGAATTAAGGAGGGTGGTGGGGAGAGAACAGCCTTCTTTGAGAATGCCCAAAAGTTCAAGATATATTTTCTTCCTTCACTACGCACGCATAACTCTCACTGACATCAGCTTTGGAGTTGAGACTTACAGACAATCAGAGGTATTTTCCCTTACAAGCTCACTGCAAGAACTGCTAAAACCAGTTAAATGCAGCCTGAGGGGTGTGGGGAAATCAGGTTTTTTTCTTTACAAAATCTCTTCATGGTCTGGTATATGTTTGGGCAGAAACAAACTGCTTTGTTTACAAGTCACAAGTCCCTTCCATTATTGCTGTGTTTATAGCAGTACATACAGGCTTACATTAGGAAACATCCAGAGTTAATCAGTGCAAAAGTTAAAAAAGCAGAAATAATTATAGCTCTTGTCCATATTCAAGACTATCAGGAATTCAGTTTACAATAATTACTCTGAGTCCAGACTCTCCTCTTCCTCCTAGGATCCCTATTTCAGCAGTGGTTAAATGGAAAACACAGTTGACTGGGATGGGAACTCTTGGCAATGGTGAGGACTATTTGTCCTTCCACAGTTCTCATCAAATAAGGCGTGCACCACAAATTGCTTATCTTTAATCTGCAATTCTCCCCTCCACCCATCTGTAAATGTGAATTAATTAATAAAGGCCTTTGTGCATCCAAGGTCACGGAAAATGAAAAGCACTCAGCAAATTGGGTGCACTGACAGTGAAGGGTGTTTGTGGGTGGGGTTTTTTTCAATGTAAATGCAAAATCTGTGAGGCAGGAGCTCCTTCAACTGTGCCATCAGTGCTAACGTTAAAAAACTTAAAAGGAAATAAAGGGAATGCAAATAAATCACGCGTCGAATAAATGTGACCTTCCCTAGAAAAAGTCTAAGGCTTTATGGAAGAGCCTCAAAACACACAACAAGGCCAAAGACATCATCAGGTCAGGAGTCTTCATGCAAATTCAGTCCCGCTGTCTGTTGTTTGTCCCTGCTGACTGCAGACGTGCTCTGCTTTCCATCCACACTGGCTGCTCACAAAGGCACCGGCACGGGGCTCTTCCACTCGTTCCACTCCAGCCATAGACCTCACATAGGTAGACTGTTTTTGACATCTATAACCGCCTGCCAATTTAAAGCTTCTGACTGAATTTGAACACTCCAGCAAATGCCACGGCTGTGACAATGAAGATACACAAACCACAGAACCACATGGCTACGTTGTTAGTAACATAGCTAAGTGTGCACATCGACATACATCGCTATATCGGCTTCCATAGTTCCCTTCTAAATCTCAAGCACCCTCACAAATAACATAATTTAGGGAGTAAAAAGGAAGTGCCATTTAGGTATACAACACTTGACAAGCTCGGAATATCACCATTAGATAAACAGAAACACGACATCAGTTTATGGGCTCACTTTCTGGAAACACACTAAAACTGAATAACTGCTGAAGAAAAGGGATACATGAAGACTTCTTTGGAGAAAACATTTTGACTCTGGAAAATGAGGAAGATCAGCTGCCAAAAATTCTGGAAAACTGAGCCAGAAGGACCCTTTAATTCTTGTGGTGCTTAAATGGCTGATTCTCAATCCAATCTTAATCTTAATATGGCCATTGAAGAGAAAGAGAGAACGTGAAGTCAAACTGCAAATCACAATCTGAGCCTGATGCCTAATACAAGTCATCAGACTTCACTTCAACCTTACCACAACACCCGAAGTACATTCAGAAAGAAATGCACTGATTTGGCTTCTGTTTTTCACTTAAAAATTTAAAGGTCACTGCAAGGGATAGATTTTGGCAAGGAAAAAAGGGAAACAGGATAAAACCGATGAGTAAAATTTAGCGACTGCAGTTCACAGCAGCTGGTGAGCGAGGTCTCCTATCAGGTGTGTGAACGTCTGACACTGCTCAGGACACCAGAGGCCGTGGCACCACAGCCCAGACCACCACGAGACCCTTGGCTTCACATTTCTGCGTGAGAAAACTCCTAAGTTCATCTCCCTCAGCACTGACGTATGTCGACAGGATTGGATGAAGACATTTTTGTGATGGGAACAGAACTGCTACACAGTAATCAAATACCAAGGCGCTGTAATTTCATTAGCACCGAGAGATCGGGGAGCGAGGTTGCTGACTGTCAGATCACATTCAGATGACAGGAGGCACAACGAGCTACGTGAAATGTTGATTAATGGAATGACTCTGTCACTTACCGAAGTCTCACAACTACTAACAGAGCAATGAAAGCGTAAGGTAACACTGTTTATTATAAAAACTGAAACAGTAAATCAAGTGTTCTGAATAGAATTTGTCTAAGTGACTCCAGTCAATCCTTTGCACTCATGACAAATCTACACTCACTCTTGGCAATAAAGTTATGGTAATATGATTTTATTATTTCTATTATCACCAACATTACTATTACAAATCAATGAAGTTGCTGGCTCAGCGAAATTCCCAGTACCAAAAGCAACTGCCATACATGCAGTCTATACAATCCAGGGTAGTAAATCACTGCAGCATTTTGCTTTACTCCCAAATAGTAACAAAGCCCTTCTGATCTTCTCTATGGAAAAATTACTAGCACATTATAAAATCCTTATTGTGCAGGAACAGAACAGACCTCTCCTCCTGCACCAATCTCTGTTTCTGGCAGAGTTTTTCTAGCTTATTAAAAGCACTACATACTTCTGCAGGGAGAGAATTAATCTTTACCACTTCAGTCTGCGAGGTCTCAAGCAAATCTGAAGTTTAGCACAACGATAAACCCTCGACACGTCCATGGGATTTGCTATCCTGTCTCTGATGAAACACATTTTAATCTGCCGGGCTCACCTACCAATCTCCTCCTTCTGCATTATATTCTATTATTTAAAAAAAACTGGCAAACTCTGTAGCTGCTTACAAAAAGCATTAAAACCATCTTCCTACTTGTCTGCTCCCTGAATACAGAACTAATCGTGCAATTCTAGAAGGACATCAGAATCAGCAAGAGCTTGTGTATCAGCCTCAACACAGTGCTCGTATCTCCTAGTTCAAACCTTACTTTATACACGTGTAAAAATGTAACACATTCACGTCCAAAAACTAAAAGCAAACTAGTAGACTGTAGTCTGGCAAAAAAACCTATAATCAGAAAATTAAAGAGTGCTAGAATCCTGTGTAAGGTTCAGCATCCAGAGTAAACATGGCTGTGACTGGTAGGTCTTGCTGAGAGCAGCACAAGAACCTCCCCAGTCGTGATCAAGTTGCACCAGTTGTGCTTCAGGTCTGAATAAGCTGCAGGTGCTGCAGGCACCACTGAGCTGCTCTGACACACCTGGGAGGGAAAGAATTTGTACAGCCCTTTACACACTGCCACTGGCTTTATGTTCCTCTAATAGCTCCATCATTTCATGTCCTGCTTCAAAAACACAATTTTAAAAGGATTTGATGGGAGTATCTGATGCTCTTAGTTTACTTCTGCCTCTTCAGAAACCACATTTTGAAATTTTTGTTTGGGTAAAAGATTGAGCTTTTGTTTTCCTCCTCCTTCAGCACGTGTCAGAAATCACACTTGGAAAAGAGACACTAGGAGATACTGCAAACAAACCATTTTCCACGCAACTTCAGCTAAATTAGGGAAAAATAGATTCAATATATGTACCCATACTATCTCTCTAACAATAATATTTAGCTGCTTTTGTAGTTTCTAAGAAAGTCCCAAGTCTACAGGCCAATTCGTAATGTTTGACAAGCACAATTTCAGAAATCCTCCTGGGGATGCAGTGATTAGAGAAGGCAACTGGCAGCTAGGAGGCCCACACTGTATTCCCTGTTTCATTACTGATTTTTCTGGATGACCTTGTCAGACATTCCGATAACCACCTTCCTTTTGACAAGGCTGTAAAACTGATTATTACAGGAATAGTTCCTCAGATGTGAATCTGGCTCTTAGGGTGTAACATCAGATGAAAAACACAATGGCCACATGATATAAATGTCACTGTAATATTTTCTAACAGACGAAACCACCACCATTTTAGTAACAGGTTAACTTTGTACCTGAAGGTTTTATTTCAGATGAGGCAATACTTACCCATTCCATTTTAACCTTATTCACATCAGCCAAGCCAGCAACGTAAGTGCAAACCATAAACATAACAAGAATTACAAAAAAACACGTAAACTTCTTTATTTTGCTTGAGAAGTTTGACTATTTACCCAAGCTTCATCTTGATCAAGTATGTGCTGCTGGCAGTAGTTGCTCAGAGCTAGGATTAAAGCTACTGGTACAGTCCCCTCAAGCATGCAGAGGGTTTAACAGTGGCTAGTGGCGACCTGGCATCCCTTAGTTCATCCAGGTCAGTCGACTCTCATGCACCTCTTCCTGAACGGTACCTGCCTCTTCCATGCCCCCCTCAGTGACCTTGACTGGCTAATGCACATGCTTTTATAGCCAAGATATTTACTATAAATGGAATATCTAAGTGGAGTCCTATTATGAGTCATTTCACCATTGCTTTCTTTCTCTGGAGAAAGCTTAGTATTATATAATTCTAGGAGCAACCTATTAGCAGACAGGAAGCAAAACAGGAAGGGAGAGGAGTGCAATTCAGATCAATACAGCTCTACAGACCCGGGCTGGCTAACAACAGACAACATAGTGAGGTGGGGGGGGGAAGCTGCTTTTTTACATTTAACATTAACTTCAGGTACCACAAAAGCATCATTGAAGTTCTGTGAAGTGAGCACAGTACCTTCCACCAAGAAAAGACAATTTAGACTTTAGAACAGCTCTTCTACAGACACTTAAATATATTCCATCCGAGGAAATATGCATGCGGACATCGTGGCCCGCTTCCACCACTGACCAACGCACCGCTGTCGGTTACTTCGCCGCCTTTCTCGCTACGTAGCCCCCTCAGTGCTCCCTTCTCCCCCTCAGAAAATGGCGCCCGCGCGTACCCCAGACTCCGCGCTTCCCTCTCCCGTCGGCACCGCTGGGCGGGGTCCCACCAGAGGGCTACACCCGTAGGGTGTAGCCGCACTCCCTTCAAAGAAAACGGCACCCTCGAAAGGAGGCGGCGTGGAGGAGCGCTAAGGGTAAGCGAGCGGGAGCACCCCTACAGCAACGGGAACAATCAGCTCCCAGAGGGGAACAGAAAAACAGCGCCACCCCTCGTGCGGCCGATCGCGAGAGAAAAACCAGCGCGAGCCCCAGCGCGCTACTTCATTGGCTCGCGTTTCTCTGCCGCTCGCTGATTGGTAGACAGCTCACCCACGCGCTCTCTCCGCCCTTCCATTGGTTCCTGCTTTCCCGCCCAACTCCCGTTTCCTCGCCGCCGGCGCGGTGCTTTTCCTCTGCGCTGTGGATGGCGCTCCCCTCAGCGCGGAGATGGCGGGGGCTGCCGAAGGGCGTAGCTCCGAGCCGAGGCAGCCTGGCGACACCTCCCTCCGAGACAGCGCTAGAACGTGGCCCCTGAAGCGCTATGGCCGCTTCCTACCCCCGAGGGACTGCGACGATGAAGAGCAAAACGCCTCCTCTTGGAAGGTGACGGTGGAAGGCGGGTGGAGGTTGATGCTTGGTTTTGGTGTCATTGGCCCCAGGGTCTAGGAGGCCGCTGGGTAGCAAGCAGTAATAAGTGAGGCCTTTGCAGATATCCTTTTGCAAGTCCAGAGCTACTGCAGGAAAGATTTGGCTCCATGCATTATTAATGTAAACACAGCAATGATGTGATAGTTAGTGGCCCACTTTTTTTTTTTTAATTTCTACCTTCAGCAGTGACCTGTGGTGTTACAAACTATAGATCAAGTTGGAAAAGGCTGGGTTTTAAAAAAACCCCTGCTTTTAAAGTTGTTAAATCTGTACATGGATTTATAATTAGTAAAAAACTCTTAAATGTGCCTCCTGGCTGGAGGAGTGGAGGGCAAGTTGCATTACTGCGAGGTAAATTACACAGCTGACTCCTAGCACTGACCTTTGAAACTCTTATTTTGCACTAGAAGTGGAAAACGTAGATTTTGTGCTTTCAGGGCTAGATTTTTATTATGTCTCATCTTTTTAAAGGTTTTTGAATCAAATGAAGAATCAGGCCATCTTATCCTTACCATTGTTGTATCTGGCCACTTCTTTATTTCCCAAGGGCGAACAGTACTGGTAAGTTCCTCATCCATAAAGAACATTTTTCCTTTCGTGTTGGCATCAGTATTAACTTAATTTTCCATCTCAGCTTCATCTTCTCTCCTACTGAAAGAAAACTGCCAAATTTATTTAGCTCAGGGTAACTCTTGTATGCTGCTTTTTCCGTGTTTATCAGAATAATGCTAAATGCGTTATTTCCTACCGAGGAACAGTGTTTCTTCTGTAGAATCTAGATTAAGATGTAATACTAAGTGCTGCTGGTGTTGAAAGGCATTTCCATTATTCTTTTGCCTAACAGAGAAAATACACTGTTGGAAAATATATAAAAATATAGCTATTAGTCCCAGTAAGATTTGCTGTATGATCCAGCTAGTTTCTTGCCAATGACCTGTTTGTATCTTGGTTTTGATAATTTGGCTTATGAAAGAGAACAGGGTTTTTTCCTATGTTGGGTAATGTCATCTAACATACATGTTACACTCATGGAGACAAAATAACAACTTCAGAATTGCATCAATTGATTTTCCTGTAGCCTGTGCTTAAGCATGACCAGCCACTAAACCCTGAATAAGAGGGTATATTGTAGCTTTAAGTATGTATAAGCTTACAAACTAGTTTTTGCTGTGCCTCTTAAAAAGTCTTAGATTTACAGAAGTATCTTGTAAGTACAGGGGGAGGATCAAGGATACCCTTGAATTTGTGAGTGTGAATTTGCCTGTGAGTGTGTTAAGAATATTGAATAGATAATGAATGAGCTACCAGAGAGCTGTCAGCCTGGATATCCCTCATGCAAGACAATGGTATTCAGCTCACATATTTAGTGAGGAGTAGTTGAATGTTCTTGGACGAGGTAAAAATGGAATATGTAAAGTATTTCAGCAGTTGTGCTAAATAAGAAAAAGGGATGGAGTAATTGAAAGTCCAGATATTAAAGGAAATAGGAGTGAAATGAGACTTGCTGCCATCTCTTCCCAGATTCTGCTTGGAATGAATCCAGAGCACAATGCACCTCTCCTGGGGCTGGTCATATTTTCAGTATTCCAATCAGATGGCTATAACAGTTTAGTAACTAGAAGACTTATATTACTCTGTAGCATGTCCTAGAAATAACCATATGAAGACTAACTGAAAGTTGTAGTAACTAACTATAAGAGTAAAAAAAGCACAGACAAAAGCTGTAGCCCTTCAAAGACTGCATCTGGCAAGTAGCAATGGGCCCGGTAAGTGTGCTGTCATAAGGGATGAGTGCGGGAAGAAAAGCTTTATAAAGACTTGGCTGAGAAAAGCCCTTTCTTGCAGCTCTTAGGTTTAGTGGTTAGCGAAGCTTTCAGGCAGCTTGAAATGCCAGATGAGGAATTTCCAAGATCTCTCAGGTCTGTTTCAGTTTCTAAGAGATGCTAGGATATTGCAGTAACGATCACAGCCTAAGAGCAGTGCAGAACAGAGCTGGAACAGACGTGCTTGGTAAATGTCACCGAGATCTAATACTGAGAGTTTAAAAAATTGATAAGCAGTGATAAAATTCTTCTTCCTGGAACAATCCCCATCTACAGCTGTCTTTTCAGTCTTTGAAGAACAGGCTGTGGATTCTCTTTAGTAAAGCAGCCAATATCATCAAACAGAAAGGTGATGCACAGGGATTGTGCTAAAGAAGACAGCTCAGGCAGTGATGCCATTGACCAGTAGCCAGTAACAGCTTACAATGCAGTACACTCCGAGCTAGCCAGAACTGCACAGGCCAGTGATGAAATGCTGCAAAATATATAACGAAAAAGTTGCTATACTGTGCAGTCTGTGTTATTGCTGTAGAAGTAATCACAGGGTAGAAATGGTTAATCTCACTGGTTCTACCTCCCTCTTGTCTCCAGCTCCCAGGAGCTGTCAGAAACCTGTCACAATATTTAATCAGGCTTTGCACAACTAAGTATGTATAGTTCTTTTGAATCTGTCACAACTCAAATCCTCTCACTGGGGGTCCCTTATAATGGACATTTTGTCACACAGGATGATGCTCAAGTTTCTGCTCCAGAGGGAATGTTATCAAGTTTGATAGAAAGCTGCAATTGTCAGACTGATTCCACTCGTGTTTTTGCTGTGTATGCTCATGTCTGCTTGCTGGCCTGGGCTACTGAGAATTTCCTTTTTATTGCCAAGGTGATCTCCAATCATACGTGCTGCCTTACTCGCATTGAAATTCCCTCTGATGTACTTACAGAACTGTTTCTTGCTCTGCAGTAACCGCATCCTTTAAGTTGTTGATGTCTACTCTTTTGATCTGTCTTCTAATCCTGACTTTTCAGACCTTTTGATCTACTACAGGCTCCTGGTTTTGAGGGAACTGGGTAACAATTATCGTAGCTTTCTACCTCGTACCTCTGCATGGGAACGCAGCGAGGCACAAGATCTGTGTCGCAGGAACACCATTTCCTTCTCAAATTGAATAGCTGTTGTATTTTTTGTAAAAGTTCCATGAAAGAATAATAAAGGGATTTTTTTTTTCCCCTCTAGCAGTAGTTCAGGAAAGTAAAATCAGTGCATCAATAGTTGTAAACTATCTTGGTTTGTAGCTTCTCTTTTCTTTAGGAAGATAAAAGTCAGAGTGCATCTGTTCTTCAGTGGTGTATACATTTTACAAAAGCCAAAATGAACCTTTTTAGCTGCCAGCAAGCTCTGCATTACGCTGATAACACTGTGGGTGGATGCTTTCTAAGAAGTCCAGAAGAAAAAAATCAAAGTCACATACTGAAAAGTGTGAACTTCCAGAGTTCAGCTGTTCTGGTATTTCACACAGAACTTTTCTTTGGCCGTTCTTCTGCAGTGAACAGTGCTGTTAACTGAATTAACGCGTGCCTGAACTCGGTGCTGAGCAGGTTCATCCTTGGTTTTCCTCTAAACTGATCTCAGGTGGCCAACACACTGGTGATGTCTCCCAGTGTTTGCTCTTGTAGTGAGCAGGGCTCCAACAAATACCTTTTTTGGTTGGAGGCATGTTTTGTTCTGCTGCTTTGTGATTGTTTCATCAAACTTCCTTCATGTCAAGTAATAATGTATGAAATGCTAAAATACATAAACTGTTTTCTGTAACATGCTCTGCTGTCAGGGTGAAAACAAGAGGAGACAGCTTTTGTGTGAGTTATTTATGTAGTGAATCCTCTTCATTGGTGTCTACCTTTCACCTACATCCGACTTTCGCTCCAACTCCATTTGTACAAAACTGAGGTGAAAGAGCTGTGTAGAAATGGAAATCTTCATTTCATTGATGGTTGGATTAACATGATCCATTCTAGGAAGAACAGGAAGAATATTCAAGTGTTCCTGACGTAACAGCAAAATATTTTCTCTATAATGGATGTATTTATGCATTCTCTTAATCCTTTATTTTCTTAAAGCAGTAGTGTTAAGAAACCTTTTCCTAAAGTGTTGTAGCTATTTAGAGCCAAGTGAGACTGACTCTTCCAGGATCCATTTCTAAGAAGAACATTTATAAAATAGTAATAAAATACTCGCATAGCCTAAAAACTGTGGTTTTTAATACATAGAGAAGTCTACAGAATTATTTTTACGAGTAATTAAATAGTAGAATATTTAATAAATTCTCTTGTCGTCGTCTTTTCACTAATGCAAGTTGAAATACTATTTACTTGCTAAAAAGAATGCTACAATGTATGTGTTGAATCTCAGCACTTCTAAACCAGGCAGATTACAAAAATACCTGGTAAAATACCTGGCGCTGCGTGCACAGCTCTGTGGTGAGAGGTTTAGGTCGAGAGAGCTCCTCCTCCCCCTCTACTCTGCCCTGGTGAGACCACATCTGGAGTATTGCATCCAGTTCTGGCCCCTCAGTTCAAGGAGGACAGGAAACTGCTGGAGAGAGTCCAGCGTAGGGCTACAAAGATGATGGAGGGAGTGGAGCATCTCCCTTCTGAGGAGCGGCTGAGGGAGCTGGGGCTCTTTAGTTTGCAGAAGAGGAGACTGAGGGGAGACCTCATTCATGTTTATAAATATTTAAAGGGTGAGTGTCACGAGGATGGAGCCAGGCTCTTCTCGGTGACAAACAATGATAGGACAAGGGGTAACGGACACAAACTGGAACACAGGAGGTTCCACTTCAATTTGAGAAGAAACTTCTTCTCAGTGAGGGTGACAGAGCCCTGGACCAGGCTGCCCAGAGAGGTTATGGAGTCTCCTTCTCTGGAGACATTCAAAACCCGCCTGGACGCCTTCCTGTGTAACCTCATCTGGGTGTTCCTGTTCCGGCAGGGGGATTGGACTGGATGAGCTTTAGAGGTCCCTTCCAGTCCCTGACGTTCTGGGATTCTGTGGTTCTGTGTGAGGTGCTGGAGTTTGACACACTATCTGAGTGCCTTTGGTTACAGTATCCGAGAATGCTCCAGCCTGGTGATTAAAGTACACCTCTGCTACTATATCCAATAATTGTGGACACCTTCAGGGTTTCCATCAGTTGCTCAAAAAACCCCAAACTATTTATTTTAATGAGTAAACTGTTTTGGGGAATGGGTACGCTTTCAAGATCAGTTTACACATTCCTTAATGGCTCTGCCAGTTTCGTACTTGAACCTATGTTAAGAAGGAAGCAACTGCTTTTCTGTAAAAGAAAAAAGTAATCTATTCCTCATGATCAGCCAAATGAAATGGAAGGTAAATGGAAACTCAGAGCCCGGAAGATAAAAATCCCTGATGTGTAATGCGTATCAAAGGGTTTCTTCGCTGTTGTTTTTTGATTTGTTGTTTTGTTGGGTTTTTTTAACAAAATTCTTCATTTGGAATTAAATTACATAACTTATTTTTAGGATCTGTGTTTGCTGCAGTGTTGTCTAACAGACTGCATCTTTTACGGTAGAAAAATCTCATTCTTGCATACTGTGGATAATGGAATTTTAACAGGACTATCTCAGCAGCAGCCCTGTCACATTCTGGCCATACTCTCAAGACCCATCGTGTTCTGTTTACCACAGCTCTTATTTCCTTTCCCTCTTTTGAGATCCTGAAAATTA